GTCTCTTTCAATATAAAGACACTACGTCGGTACAACACCGCAAATTAATGTTTTTTTTTCCTTCAACAACAAAAACATGTGGTTAGGTTTAGAAAAAAACAACAGGGTTTGGCTTTAGAATCTTAAGGGACATGAACAACTCTCTCGGGTGAAAGTCTGTGTTTGTTGGACCCATCCACCCCCCCTTCTACCCACCCCACTTGGACTTTCATTGCCTTAACTTTCATCCAAGTCCCACCGCATTTCCCCCTGACGCCACTAGGCAACAACTGGCATGCCGACATTAAAGGACGCCTTTTTCTGTTGGTCTCTGATGCCCAAGCACCGGATTTCAATGACTGCAGAGTGAGACCGAGCTCACATGAATGCAGCAAAACCATTTGACAAATACAAAACATGCACTGTTGTTTCTGATGACATACTTTTCCAGTTAAAATACCACAGGTTGGGTCTTTGAAATTAGTGTGAATCGTATTCCAGCCATGTAAACTCAGTTGGAAAGCCTGATTGGCTAATGAAGTTTTCTGTACTGGTATGATGCAGTCACAGCAGCCCAGACGCCACAAGAATATGTTGGAATGGTACATTTCTGTAAGCCATGGATACATTACATTTATAAGTTTCATATGCATCATATCAACATTTCTAAAGGGATGTCGTATATGATCTGACTGAGGTCTGAGGCGGATGGCGTGACACTGCAGCAAGACACTTGCCAAGTTGTAGGGTGCAGACTGTTCAAGACCAACAAACAACAAAAGCGGTTGTTTTTTTAGTGAGTCATCGCTGCCTTGTCAGTGGCTTTTTTAGCCTTCAAACGTGGGTGGTTTTTTGCAACCCATTGTTGTGTTTCCACAGGGGGTAGTGCCACAAGACGTCCCTGTGTTTCCACCCATGATTGTGCCAGAACTGGGTATTTTAAGTGTTTTTTGTGCCTAAACCGAACAACACATTAGGTTACAACATTTACACTACATAGGCGAATAACATACCACTGTAATTGTGGTTTGCAGAAACATAATGCCAACAATTATTGTGGTGATTGGGTTGGTCACAGAGCTCTACTGTGCTACCAGGAGTTTTTATTTCACATATTCAGACAAAACAGAGGGAGCAAAACTAAAACTACTAAGTATTTCTTAAACTGTATTGTATGTGCATATTTTTCCAAGTAAATAGATCACACTTGTCACAGTGATGGTGGTTTTACAGCTTGTCAAGAAAATATGTTCCAGGATGGAGAAAATAGCATTCATAAATCATTTTGGTGCTTCCAAACTCAAGTTATTTCTGATGAAGTTTGCCAAATTTAACAGACAATTTTTTCGCAACTTTTTTAACTACTTATATTCATAGCTCTCCTAAAGGAAAGCTATTAATCAACTGTGATTCCCAAATGTTTGAACTCATGTTCTACCTGAAGTTTTTTCCCCATCAGTTAATACCAAACTGTCCTTTTTGTACTAAATTTGTTTACTGACTTTCACTTGGCCTTTTAGTTTTCCTGCTTTCCTTCAAACAGTATAAACCTGGCATGCAGACATCATCCGAGCTTGCTGCCTTATCAAGAGCATTAAAAAACACTCAAGGATACAGCATGGTAGTAAATTGAGCTTTTAGACATCAGGGACATTCCTTTGAAACACACAAACACACACACTCACAGAAATAAAACCACAGTTGCCCAATTTTCAGGTTACGCAATTTTCCTGTTGCTGTTTTTACTCCTTTACCTAAAGCTTAGGTGTTTCTCAAGACGCTGTATGAACTGTTACAATGACCTTTAAAGGTGTTTCTTAAATAACAGATAATGACACTATGATGTGTTTAAATATAAAAATGACTCAAGTATTGATAATAATTTTCCAACTAAACAATGTTTTCACATTTCAGTCATCATTCATTTCTTTATTTCTGATTGTTTCCCCAAATATGAGTTTAATACTTGGTCAAATGGAGGATTATTACACTTCTGAGTTCAGCTCCAGATGGGCTTTTGAGCCAAGTTACTGTTGAGTGTCACCAGATTTTAAATCCTCATTTATCTGTCAGGAGAATTTCAACTGAGCTCACTGTTTTGTTTTTTTTTCCCACCAGTCCTCTGCTGATAAGCAGCTGGGAGTGTGATGTCTTGCTCAAGAACTCATAAATGGTAGTTCTGGATTCATGGACGGATTATAAGACAATAGGCCCCTGGGCACAGACATGTAAACGCCCGAACAAATACACAGGAGCAAGACCAGCAGACTGAAACAGACACAAAATGACTATGTAATTGTTTTGCATCTCTCTGTGATTGTCTTTAGGCCCGTTCAGGAGAGTTAATTTTCTCATTCTTAACTTTCCTCACAGACCAGATTCAAACTTCCCATGTGGAGCATACTTCTGTAACCTCTGACCATGTATTGATTCTGCTTGACACCTCTTGTCTGATTGGTCAGCTGCTGAGGGAATGTGTGCGCTGACTCCTAACCCTAACCCTCACCCACTGATGGTTACCCATCATTCCATTCTCAGACAGTAAACACTGACAGGCTTTGCACCGTCTTGCCATCAGGCTTGGGGTTTGATCAGTCGCGTGGCTCCTAACCTATCCTGACTTGACCCAGGGGATTTGATCCATGATGCCCAGGAAGATGGACATGAGGAATGTGAAAAGGGGTCAGAGGTCAAAAGCAGCACTGCAGGAAGTCATCCCTGCCCTAATAAGATAAACATGAGTTCCTGTCCTGTGATGGATGGAGCTACAAGATGCTGTCTGGTCCCCTTCCGGGTCTGAGGGTTCAAAATGGGAGCCGTCCTATCACAAGTCGGATTTAAGTCCAACTCTGACAGCCTTGCTTCAGTCATGTGCTCCGTCTTGTGGAGGTTTAACTCCCCATGATGCCTCCATCAGACAGGACATGTGTCAGATACATTTATGTAGTTCATGAACTTCTTTTTCATCCTAGTGTCATATTTATTGATGCCCGACTCTCTACGCAAGAGCCAAAATTCCAAGATGAGGGTTTGTTTGAAATTGGCTCCATCAGACTCATCCCGTTAAGTGATCCCCTTTCTTTACACTGGCAAGATTGAAAGACCAGAATTTCCTGTGTCATCCTGCACTCACTTTTCACTTCTTTGTGGCTTCATGATCAGAGGAAGAAAACAGGAAATATTCTGCAAATGATTTAGCAAAATATGCCTTTAAATTGCGCCAGAAGTGTATCACCATTAAAGTGCAATCACATTTATGACTATATCGTGAACATACCACTGATAAAAAATACATACACTTCTTATATTCCTGTTGTATTTCTATCTGTGTATAGCTCAGTTATATCAGTAATGGGTTTATAGTGACCTGACCTTTGTCTCACTTTTTGTTTGTGTGTTAAGTGTGGTGGGTACACTGCACCGTCACAGCTGACTGGAGAATCCAGCCAATGAGTAAACTGGGGAAGACTTGAATTTGAGACAGAGCTTTAAAGGTGAATGATTAAGTGATGTTGGGAAGACGAGAGGAGAAATCAACAGCTGATGACTCACTACAGACCAATCCATCACTTTGACACATTTTGGACTAACACATGTGGTTGTTTGCCACATTAAAGCTCTGTAAAGGCAACCAGAGGTAAACATAATGACACAGGATATCTGTTCATTTTGGCTTCACAATAAAAGCATGAAATAGTTTGCCAGTACCCATTGTGTGCAAGTGTGCATTGCATCCTGGGCCATAGCCAAGATTTTAGAAATGCTGAGTTTTTTTCCCCCCACATTGTATTTATTCATTTAGCTCTAGCTTTCCAGTATTCTTTATTATTTTATCTTTAAAAAGTAACATTTAAACACAGATCTCAAATAAATGAGAATCAGCCTTAAAACCTTCAGGAGACATTTATGTACACTTGCAAAATATAATACTCACATTTAGTAAACATGGGCAGTGTTTTCTTAGACATGAATATTTCTCATAAGTCTTTTTGGTTTTCTCTCCTTTAAAAAATGTTTCTACTTTCAGAGAGTAATTTGATTTTTATTTTCCACACAGTCTGTAGCTTCTATTTAAAGGTCTGCCAAGGGTCAGCATCGTAGAGACTTCCATTCAGAAATATAATTCAGACATTTTTAGTTTATGGTTGCGAGTTCATTGGCTCTTCATATGTACTTTTCTTTATAATGCTCATTACTCTCTTATGAAGCTCACCACTACATCGCTCTGTGCATTGGGTGTGTGTGTCCTGTCATTTCAAAGTAAACAAATGAAACGGATTAATATAACGATATTTGTTAAGTGAGCACAACACAATATTAACCAATACTGACAATATTAAAACACGTACAGGGCTCTTCCATGAGGAAGGGCCTCAAGATAGGGAAATTATGCAGGACATATTTAAAGAGCCTTGTGTACTGGCAATGCCATTTAGTGGTGCATCTTCATAAACAAATGTCCTAAGGGCCAAGGGTGTAGATTTTGAAAATGAAGATAAACTTTACTAATCCCTGAGGGATAATTAAAAATTTTCACTCTGTTGTCATATACACACAGGCCTGAAATACACACACATGCACAAACAGGACCTGTACATGCATGAAATGGAGAGATGTCAGAGTGAGGGGGCTGCCCATGGACAGACACCTCGAGTAGTTGGGGGTTCTGTGCCTTGCTCAATGGTGCCTTGGCAAGTGGCACATAAGAATTGAGGGGTGTGGGCCCCTCCACCACCACCAGAAAATTTTGAGCATCAAAAACTTTTACATTCTATGAACCAATGTTCGCCTTTTCTGCGTCACTCTGTGGTGTAAATGCCTTTATTTTCCAAAAGTAAAAGTCCCCTGCTACTTTTATGTTTTGCACATGTTCATCTATCTATCTATCTATCTATCTATCTATCTATCTATATCTTCTATCCAGCCCATGGATAGGTGTTTTACCTTGAAAGGTCCAACCGGAAGCCTCTGTATTTAAACGGTGTAGGCTCGAGCTCGACTATCATTTCTCGAGGCACCGCTAATGTTTGGGGAGAAAGGGGTTAACAAGTGAACCAAACCTTTGGAAAGAGGCTGTTACCCCCCCTTACACAAACAGACCGGCGGCCTGTGCTCGGATACACCGACAGTAATGCCTCCTGTTCTCGTCTCTGTGAGTCGGCGTTCAGTACCGTTACGGTGGGGGTGAGACACGGCGGACCGGCGGACCTGCAGCCTGGCTCATTTCTTTCTGCCTTCACCCTCTTCACCGCTGCGACTTCCACACTGGACATCCAAGGATGTACAGGAAGATAAGGAGCAGCAAAGGTCAGCGAGCCGGATCGATGCTCTTATCGGTGATAAAGTAGACACGGCCGTCACAGCAACAACAGCGTCCGTCTTGCATGAACCCTGGCTGCAGGATTGGGCTCGGCTCCTCGCTCGTCTCCACAGACTCAGGATGAGGAAACCTAAAGTCACTCGGATGGTTTTTGCCTTGTGTCTGGGATGTTTCATTATGGTCATCCTCTACTTTAACAGCAGTCTGAAGCCAGGTGAGTGAGCAGGGGTTCTTCATCACAATAGCCACAATACATCCAGATGTTCAGTCTTTATCACAAATACTGTTTAAACATTCCCCTTTCTTTATCTAAGATAAAATAAATGTAATGCCTCAGTAGTAGTGAGGAAAAGAAGAGAAAGGCCTATGTCAGATATTACAGTCGATTCATCATTGCTTCACCACCCCTGTTTCAATAGGCCAAGTTTAAGTCTTTAATTTTTTTCCTCTATTCATAACCAGTCTAAATTACAGAAATAAAATAAGAATGTACCACCAGAATCTATTTCAGGATGTAGAAACAGCCTACAGAATATAGACTCTAAACTAGACCCTTTAAACCCGGGCTATGGAGAAAAATCAAATATCACGATATTTTTGACCAAATACCTCAATATTGATATTACAGCGATATTGTAGGGTGGACTATTGTTTTTTTCACAAAATGGGTAAAGGCAAATAATATAACAGTCTGTAAGTTCAGAAAATTACACGAATTTGCTGTAATGCAGCCTTTAAAACCAGGAAAAGACACCATGTATAATAATACGATATCCAAAATTGAAGGAAATATCTAGTCTCACATCACAATATTGATATTATATCTATGTATTACACAGCCTTGTGAGTATATATTTGTCTTTATCAATAGATATGAGATTGCATTCAGTTATGACATATTTTGGATGTATCCTGGAAATACATCATTTGTATTATAGCAAATAATATCTAACTGTCTAATGGCCTGTTGGTCTGATCTCAGTAGTTACAGCAGGCGAGCTGCTTCCATTCTGTATTGGTTCACTCATGCCATGTCCACGTCATAATAATCAAATCCACTGATGTCATGCACTGACACTACTGTAAGGCATGGTAATAATCTGATGCAAGTGTGCCTGAATGGAGAAAATCTGCCTTTCACATGATACTCAAAGGATTTCTGTGTGTTACTGATTCTTAGTACAGTATGTCCTTCCCCCCTACCATCATGTTTGCCCTTCTACACTTTTATCCTGCATCTGGATTTCCCTGAGAACCACAGGTCTTGGTGGGGGAACAGTTTCATTAGCAAACTGATTAGTGGAGTGTTTCCCCTGCTACGTGGAGAGGTTGCAGCTGGCTGGTTAGCGGAGCAGGACCTCGATCTGTTTCACCTCTTCCAGGTCCCTCTCTGCCACATACAATGGCCTCATTCAGACATGCCAAGCTATATCACAGGCCAAAAAAGCTTATATAGCCCATACTGTGAGGAGGGTTTAGGTTTTTAAGAGAGTCAGTCCATTCTGGATGTGAGACATGGAGCAGAGAGTGTTTAGAGTTATGTGAAATCTATGAAAGACCAGTCTCTTGTGGGGACAGATTACATCCTGACATACTCCTGAATAGTATTTGCTTGAAATGTGCTGTTACACCACTAAAGTAAGTTTGTTGGGACTGTTGAAAGCATTCAAGGTCAAATAAAAAACCTTGAATCCCTTGGATGATTGTGCACTGTTCATCAGGCTGTCATGTTCGATGCATTCCAGGAGTTTTCTTGTGTTGATGTTTCATATACAGTAGCTGGTTCAGTGTGCCTCCCTGAGTTGTCCTCCCATTTTAAAAGTTCTTTCAATTTATTGTTCTGTTAAACTCTATTCAGTTCAGTCAGTTTATTTGTCACATGAAATCATAGAAGGTACAGGTCCAGTCAGATGTGATCCTGTCAGCTCCTTCAACTTGTGCATTTCAATTTAGTCCCTTTTTTGCCTCTTCTTACAATGTAGGCTGCTGCCTTATAATTGTCCATGTTTCCAGACAGGCTGCAGTGCATGTGTTTATGGCGTCCTGGATGGTTCTGGTAATTCATGGTTTCGGGTTGAAAAATGATTTAACTGCAGTTTTGGGTACAGTTGTTTTGCAAATTAAATCCACCACAGTCTCAGTGAATTCATTGATGTCATCCCAGACATTGATGGTGGTGTCCAGGAACCAGACTGAAGGGCAATCTCTGATAGACTGGTCCATTCCCTGACCCCTCATGTCTCTTGGAGCAAGCATCATATGTTGGTTACATTTTTGGACCTCACCAAAATAGCTGTATGGTTTCACTAACCAAACGTGGGCAGCAATTCCGCTCTGTGGCTCCCTCTGAATGGCGTTTAGCAGTGATCCAGAGTGTCCATTGCTCCTGTGGCAGAGGAGCAGGAACATAACAGCATTTCAGTATTCCTACTGTCACACCAATCCTTATTCACCATAAAGCACTCACTAGTAGCTAATAAGACAAAGGCCTTTTTCACAGCTGATTTACAGGTAATAGAAGGTAAAACACCAATGTTATTCATGACATAATCAATGGCTGCATTGCAGGTGTGTCAGTGTGAGGACCCTGATATTGTGCATTTGGTATCATGGTTTAATAGGACACCACTTGAATGGAAACTTCAACAGAGCCATCGTTAACATTATTAGTCTAACCTGTGCTTGACAGGGTTCCCAAGGTCATAGAAAACCTGGAAAAAATCATGGAATTTCAGTCTCATTCTCTAGCCCGAGAAAAGTCATGGAATTAGCAAAAACCATTGAACGTTTTGGAAGTTCGTAGAAGTTTGTTGTTTGTGATTAAATCAATTGTTACAGTAATCTTCCTGGGATAAAATTATATGTAATGTAAGATGACGGCAAACAGTTTTCTGTAAGTTAGCCATTGACATAACGTAGCTCTAATATGCGTCAACCTAGGGCTGCATGATGTATTCTTTCAGCATCAACACTGCGATGCCCAGTAGTTGCGTTGAAGGACGTGCAATGTCAAACTAGGCAAATTAACCCTAACAAACTTACTTGATGTTTGAGACAAATGAAAAAGTTGCATGGTTCTCATTTTCCATGACTTATACCGGCCAAGCTTTCCACTTTTAGACGTTATGTGTATATGTGACATAGTCTGGCAGTGTTTTTTATGGGAAAGAAGACTCTCCTGAAAGTGAGACTGTGGAAAAGTACCGTAACCATGCTGATAGCAGCGTGCTTACCAGCAGCTTAAGTCCTTTGTCTGTGTCCGCACAGGATCCATTGACACTACTGACCCCAACTTATCTCTGCTAGCATCTCAGCTAACGTTAGCAAGGATTGGTTTGGTTTAGGAGTGACACTGGTCAGTGTTAGTGGAAGAATATCAGGGTAAGCCAGTCAAAGGCAGAGTAGGAAGGGTCATGCCTTTGCCATTCTAGGTAAAAAAAAAAGAACATGCCTCCACTAGCATCTCTGCTAACGTTAGCGAGCCACATTGGCACTGTTCTTATAATACATTCAAACACTGCACGGCCACAGAGCTAATGGTCAACAACTGAGAGAAAGGAAGAAGGCGCAGAAGAGATGTGGTGACACAGGACACGTGGCATAGTGTTGTTGGGTAAGGATCGGGAGGAGTGGAAGGGCAATGAGATCCAGCGTGTACCCTGGACACTTCTCAGTGTTTTGGCAGCAGTCTAACACACAATCATTGTAGTTAGTGGACTGCCTTTACGCACATATAGCACAAATAAAACAGGAGCCATTACACAGCCTGTGCAGACAGCTGTATTCATTAAAATATCTGTCAGCCTATCTGTATCCGTCAGGGGTCTGTGAGACTGACGACTGAAAAACATGGCTGAAGCACCTCCTGTGTAGACATGCTATTATATTCTCCAGGTGGCCAAACACATTGTGTCAAATGAATGATAATGTTGTGCCGTAACTGCTGGATGTTTAAATAGATTTTCCATATCACCTTAAAAGGTAATATGTCAGTGTTATGTTTCAGTTTGTGTCGGCTGCCCCTGAGTGGCCAAAAAATCAGCTAGTTAGCAGATATGATAACTTACTGCAAACTGTGCCAAATGTTTTGTGGAACACTTTATATTCCGGCAGGAGGGTTTTAGAAAATTAGATGCTGCAGCAGCTAAAATGATAGCTTCCTTCACTTTGTACTCTCAAGCTCTCAGTTTCTACAAAGGTCAGCACTGTTGAGATGATTAGCAGTTAGTCGATGGAACAAATTCTCATTGTGAGCTTTACTTAAGTTAGATTCTATGCCAGTGTGCCAGGGATGTGTGAGCCATCATTAAAACTAGTGTTTTGCTTGCTTTTCACCAAGGCATACAACAAGATAAGTTGATGCACTGTGAGCAGCACTGTTCACATACTTTACTGCCTACATTATATGTGCCTGGAGAATTAAAAAGTATATCCAACTAGGGACACATTCGGGCCAAATCATCCTTGGCTAACACCCAAATTTCTCCCTTGAGAACCTCTGATTTTGCACAAAGCCACCATAATAAAACATGGCGACAGATGAGGGTAAGATCGACAGAAGTGGAAGACGCAACAACCTCTGTTAGTTTCTCTTTAAAACCTGAAGCCACTGTTTGTTTAGTCTTCTGCTGACTTCACTTCACATTCTGATACGGACGCCTCGTATAGTGTGCTTAATTGCATTTTGGTGATATCTAGTTAATATCTGAGGATGTGCACAAGCAGTGCTGGGAAGAGGCACAGGATTCGTGGAGTAGCCATCATGGGCTCACACATGCATTGATAAAAGCAGGTATATCAGCGCTATATCAGTGACCGGTGAAACATCTGAAGGTGATTATTTAGCATCTAAGAGGTTGCCTCTGGTATTTTTGTTCTTGAGTAGCTTGAATGTACACGGAGTGCATCTCATGTTTCAGACATTAAAGCTGCCTGTCAGCTTTAAATCACTTTAAATTGGTTTTAGATATGCAGCCAGTCTGTCCTATTTGCATTTAGAACACCTTCCCTCCCTTGCTCCATATGGGGTAGAGGTCATATTGTTTGTTCAAAGACTATATAAAGCTGCAAGAGAGCAGCCACATAACAAAGGAATGCACCGCCAAGTCAGAGTTACACAGTATCAAATGTCCCGTTTTTGAATGTTCCCTTTTCTTGCCACAGGATTCGCAGCGCTAATCTAAATTTAGGATAATTACATAGATGCAGAGTTGG